GATGGTCTTCCGAGGTTGTCAGAAAAACACGTAACATTTCTATGGGCAACATTTTGTGTTGAGAATATTGATGACGCTTTTATTGTTGTTCGGAGTGTCAAGGTGTAGTCTAGTTTGAAGTTCACAGTGTTTTCAAATGCGTTTTTGTTCTTAACACTTCATTCGCTCAATTGTCTTGATGTTCATTTATTTCAGAATACAAATGTATTCTTGACAGAAGCACTGAACACGGTAAAAACTGAACAAGAGTGCAAATATTACTCTGCATGGAGATTCTTCGTCATATGTCGTTGGCAAGCCAAACATAGAATAAAAATATGTTCAAAAAAAGTTTTAGATTTTAATGAGATACACTCACCTCTTTTGTGTGTATTATACGGTGTGCGTTATCCTGATAATGAACTCTGTGAGTGTTTGTGATTCACTGTCACTATCTATGTTATAGACACTAGCGAACCAGATTTATTTTCATTCTTCCATTGAAGAACTTTCTTTTTCGCGTTTTGTAAACTTTCTGTCGTCATGCGAGGTATGTGGACATCATTTGCCTTTCAGTGGGGTTCGTAAATTCTTTACGACACTTTTATTAAGGTACATTTTACGAAAATGGCGATATACCCTACCAAAGTATTTTATTGTTTAACATTTATAATGACGACAACCAGTAATCATTGTAATCTGGTCTGATACGTGCTTCAAGACGCTTAATGACAATGATTCTGAAGTTGTGGTCCGCACATCGCTGCCGGTCCGAGGATTAATTTAAGTCGATTCTCAGTTTCTAGTGACACGTAACATGTTATTGCAGCTGGAATCATTGATGTTTTACGAATTACAGCTGTTTTCTTTTACCATTTGTGTTTATTTTTAACATTTACCGAACCTCTTTTCGATTTTCGGTGTTTGATGTTAGGACCAGCGGAATGGTAAGGAAGGTAAAACGGTGCTAGTAATAATGAGCTTTGTAGATTACTGTTTGCACTCTACAATGTGAGTAATAGGGTACTCGCCAACACACCGCTAGATGGGTGAATAGTGAAGGACGAATCTGACTGGCAGGCTTGTTTCACACCATCCACTTCACTCCAGACGAGATACCGTAGTTAAACACGAGCTCTCGAGTGGCCGTCTGCTGTGGCATCACTTTCGGCCACTTGAGTTATCGTCAGATGAATGAACGCTATCGGATCAACTTTTCTGCATCCAATGCGAGAATTTTTCGATGTCGAGCGTTCACAAATGCCATCTAAAATTGTGTTCTGCCTTTTAAACTGCAATGTGATGTGAAGCTTTCACGGCGGCTTTCATTAATAAAGTCTTCTCGGGCTATCAGCCGTGTTAGTTGTTGATCAATCGCCACACGGTCAACAGCCCTGAAAATGAGGACAGAGATGGTCCTCGAAACGTCGGCGATTGATCACCAAACTAACACGGCTGATAGCCCAGGAAGACTTTATTAATGTGTCTACATGTTAAAACTCGTAAAATGTCCCCTCTTCCTCTTCTGACTTACATATACAAATTATCACAAAATACACATGCCATGTATTAGTCATATGATTCACATAAGAAGTCATACATTCAAGTTACATGTGTGTGGATTACTCGATTACCGTACAGTATAGTCGGCGCAGTAGTTTTTTGGCCGGTGGAGAAGCTGGCGGACGGGCCTAGTCTGTGTACCTGACGTGGCACGGTCAGTATATTTCTTTTGTTTGGGCGTTCAGTCCGATAAGCTCCTCGGTGCAGTCAGCATTATACCATCGCACAAGTGACTCGCTCCCAGCCTCCCCCTTGAAAATTCCACCGGCCAAAAACTACTGCGCCGACTATACATACGAATTTTCTGTTTTATTTTACTTCCTCCGGTTTTTGAAATGTAACATACCTCAGAAACTACAGTGCTAAATTTACATGACCAATAAAAAGCAGATATGATGTGAAAATCAGTTTCTTCTGTCCCTTCCTGTGAAAAATATTTCTGTTTATTAAGAACAGTTTTATATTGGTTTTTGCTTTTACAGTCTCGTGGCCTCTTACGTAGGCAGGTTTACGATTAATTCAAGAGCTGTTTTGTTTTAGATCCGTTTCCTTTAGTAACTTCTTCATAGTCTGACAACATTGAAACCTTACGACGCGCGTGATACTTGTCATGCAACGACCTTATTTGCTGATAAATCGCGTTATTATTTGTTTATTACGAAACGATATTTTGACATCGATGTGGTAATTGCAGTGCTGTGATTCGGTTTAGCATAACTGTATCTCTTATCTGCTGTTGAAATTGCTGTTGCTCTAAACGAATCTCTTCAGGGCTCATGACGTAACACATTAATCTGTTCATTACTGGAATAACACAGTTAGTGTGACAAGCATGCCACTCTGTTTATCAGTCAGAAGACGATAAATACTGAGGTTAAATAATAGGGACTCCAGTTAGGTAAATTACAGGCATAAACCAATTAGTTGCTGCTCTCTGGTGTTCTTAAGACACATTGAACCGAAAACGGAATGGGCCCCACTCAAATTTCACATACACATGCGGTGATGTAATTTACTTCGTGAGGCAGAATCCTTCTCGGGAAGCTAATAGTCGCTCAGCTAGCCAAACAATTCCGCACACTTTAAGAACCCGAAGTCACTGATCGCTGTCATGAACCGATGAGTTCAGTTCACACTCTCATAACCTTTAATTTTAGATCCATTTTAATATTATCCTTCCATATATTCTAGATATCCCAAGTGTAATCTTCAAGTTTCATGCTAAAATATGATATAAATTTATGGTCTCTCCTTCATTACGCGTTCATCAATTATGAGAACAGTAAACATACATGGAATTTACTGCCGCGTTATAAATAATTTTTGACACAATGAATGGTACCGCGTTGAAATTTTTCGCGTGTAGCTTCGATATGAACGATATTTTATTATCCGATTATATATCGTGAAAACAATGTATGGACGATCTTCCCAGTCGAAATATAACCAGATAAGCTAGACTAGGGTAATGATAAGAATTTTTCTTGTGTCATATGCGTCGATGGACCCGTACTTTATTCACCCCTGCAATGTGAGGTGCAATGCTGTTTTCAAAAGATTCTGACAAAACTTTGATGAAGAATGGAGTATGGAAGAAAACGGCATATTACATAACGCTGCTATATCAGTGCTGTTTGACCTGAGTGATGACCCTTTGACTCCATCAGTCTATGTACATGTTTGAATTGCATTACGCTTTCACAATGACGTATTTTATCACTCCGAATCTAATTTTTCCTAAGATGATCCGTAAATAAGTAACAAACAGTAGAACTATTTCTGATTGTGGGCACCAGAACTGATGTGTCCACAACAAGAAGTAGAAAATGACTTTATAGTCAGATTTGTCTTGTCATTATGAAACCAAACAATAACACAGATGAAATGTGACAAATGCCACACAATTTCTGTCTCTGCAGCTTTCAATCATTCATTCTTTCTTTCTTTCTTTCTTTCTTTCTTTATCCCTTCCTCTTCTTACTTACTTCTAATGCTAGCTTTCGATGTTGTTTTATAAAAAGCATAACAAGAGGACGGACAAGACGTACAATATAAAAAGTAACAAAAAACAGTACAGTGGTTCTTGAGTAATGAGACACCAGCATAAAAATAAAATTTCTTTCATTACGTTTGAAACAGTGTATGAAGACACGTGGTAAATATTCTTCGTGAATGATGTGTGTATAATTTTCTATACAACTTTTGTTTGAAACTATTTTCTCTCGATGTACGTCCAGGAACGTACATTGGTTCTCGCGCAAAATTCCCGCCATCATATTTTGATTTTAACTAAGACTCAACAGTGTTGACATATTTTAGTAACATTCCCTCGTATCGAATTGTATTGAAACGAGTTTAGCGATTATCGATTTGCAGCGTGCGGATAGAATGGCGGATAGACAAATATGGCGAAGTTATTGGGCAACTGTACGTTGCGAACGCGCCAAAAATTCAAGTACTGGACGCAAGTAGAATCGCTACTTTCATTACATGTTTCGTTTTTCCCTTACTAATTTGGCCCAGACCACAAGGCCAATTTATAAAAGTGTTCGGCGAGGTTATTTGGATTTCACATGCCTGCCCTAAAGGTTTATTCATTGTACTGCACTGTCCATTGTCTGGGATATAGGTCATCGTGGTCCCAAGAGGCGGACTGCGGACCACATCCGGCCCAAGATCACTTATAAATAAACTTGAGAAATTATTTGTTTCTACAAATTCCGAAGAATTAAAAAATTCGTGGTTCTTATACCTCGTCTGCTGCTTTACATACAAGTGTGACACATGCTACTGAGTTTAAAACTCTGCCATAAAATGTAAATTTTAAAGGAAAAACTTGGGTCATTTTCAAGATTTTGCAGGACAACATTTAAAACAATATGCAACTCTACAGTAATTTTCGCACATTTCAATAAAATTTATATTTCAGCGTATATTATGGAAATTTTTCATTTCTAGGAAAGTATTGTAAAGATACGGAAAGTTGGCCTTTAGTTTTAAAAATAGTGTCAGGAGGGGGAGAAATATTCTTTGCCGGAGGGAAAAAGTTCGACCACCCTGATGCAGGCTTATATTTAATTTCGGTTGTTGGCCATAATATCGTCTGCAGGTGACACATAAAACAGGTGTGGGTAAAACTTAACATTTTCTGAAAGAACACTATGTTACATCTAGGTATTTGGGGTTTACGTAGGCCTCAAGCCATCAATTCAACGTCTTTGGATTAATTAATACATTATTAATCCCCTCCCCCAAGCACTTACATGGAGTATAGCGGGACAGCTTTATCTTAGGCCTTTTGAAAACGAATTTTAACAGGTGGGTGACTCAGTAAATCTGTACTTTATCTTGCTGCAAGACGGAGTCATCTTATGAGACATTGTACCACAAGACACACGGACGTCATGTCTACAACTCCAAATCATTTGATATTTCTGGCGTACATTTATTTTACTCACCTGTAATATTGCTCGGGAATTTTCTATCACCTGTTGCCATATTCGTTAATGTCTGTGTAGCTGCCTGGAACAGAAAGTCAACAGAAAATGAGCACCCAATTGATTAAACTGAATAAATAACTGCATGGAACAGTCCTTCATGAGAAACTGATAGTCGCTAAAGCAGTCAAGAAAATCACCAACCTTTATGGAACACGAAGGTTCATTGTTGTGTTCAAAAGATCCCGCTACCGGTCTCTATCCTGAGCCAGAAAAATCCAATCCATACTCTATCGTCTGTTTCCTTGATATCTATTTTAATATTATCCTCTCATCTAAGCCTAAATTTTCTAAAAATGTTGTGCGCATTTCTCGTCTCTCCACGCGTGCTACATGTCTATGCTATCTCATTCTCGTAGACTTGATTACTTCAATAATATTTGGTGCAGAGTACAAGTTATGAAACTAGTCGTGTTGCACTAATCTCAAGTCTCCTGTTAATTCATCTGTGTCAGGTATGAATATTCTTCTCAGCACCAAGTTTTTCGATCACTTGCAGTCACACGTAGTCTGTGTGAGATACCGTGTTTCACATCCATAGAAAACAACAGCTCTGGTGGCGAAACAGGGACATGTACTTGATTTTCTCTGCATTTACTTCTAAAACGTCTTATTTGCCAGCATCCAACAGAGCTTCTATGTTTGTCTTTGTGATATTTATGTTTCCGCCCAGAAAATTAACGTATCCAAGAAGCTGGTGAGATGTATCCAATCCAAATCCAGTTCCGCTTTTTTTATCGGGCTTCCTAATGGCGTATTTCAAAGTAACATCAAAAATAAAACGATGCTGGTAAAGCATCTCGTTGTTTCAAATCATTCTGAATAATAAGTGCATTTGACAAATGTGTACGCACTTTACTATAGGTTTCTTAAAAGTAAAGGTGAAGTCCCTGTTGCTTAATTAAGCATCGGAACATGAATACGTATAACTCCACGAATTTTTAGTCACAGCAATACATTTAGGTGAGCGGTCAGCTTCACGTCCCAGCCGCTTTACCTCCGGGACAAGAGCCCCCCGGTAACCATTCGATAGAAGGCTAGGTGAACCTCGAAATGCTCTCGACGCCGTGGCGAAGATAAGAATCTCATGGGGTTACCGAATTCAGCGACAATGCTGAAAAATATTTTCTCCTAACTGTATCGTAGACTATCTTGAGGTCTATAAACAGCCGAAGTGCTGTCACGTCGTAATTGCATATTTTTTCCTCCCTAGTGTTCGACGAAAGCAGAAAATGTGACCGGTAGTTGATCGGCTATGTCGAAGTCCCTGAGAGAAGAATAATTGATAAATTTTTAACTGAATAACTCCTATAGTCATAAATAAAATATGCATCCTTTTCAGTCAATAAGAAAAAAATACGGAAAATCGTATGACCCCTACTTTGTTTAACTGCTTAAGTCTATACACAGAGGCTAACAGCAATGACAAATCAATCATATGTTAATTAAATCTAGTAATATCTTTATCAGCATAATACCCATTAGTTCCCTCTGTGTGAACATGGACATTACCAGAAAGTTTTACGTAGTTGACATATTTGTGTATTTTTAACACAAAAAACGTTCATATAAAAAAATCTGTAGGCATATTTGTGTTGCATTTTTACGCCGCATGTCATTTGTCTGCTTCAAATGGTTTGTTACCTTAGGCATCCCTTCCACACCGAAAGCTGAATATATACACAGCATACTTGTCCTGATGTGAAAGGAAAGTAGGCTACACCGATTGGTTAAATAACAATGTATTTCGACTTGGCAAACAGCAGGTGTTCAACGGCGTTATTTATGCACGAATAATACAAGCAACAGATCTGGTTATGCATAACTGCTAACACATTGCCACATAACAAACCGCGGCTACTTCTATGGTGTCTACAGGCAACCATAAGTACCCATCTGCGCAGGCGCTCGGTTGTTCTGATACACGGTGTTGAAACATCGGTCGTATCTCTGTTCTCAATTAGTTCCCTATCTTAATGGTGTTTCGTGTTATTATTGTATTTTTAGTACTACGTAGTTTGTACACAATTTAAAGGATGAGTCGGGTCAGGGTCAGTGGTAACATATCGATAGTATCAAATATATTGCAGATTGCTCCAACATTTTTAGTTAACAGGCAATGTTTTTGGACAGCATTAAGCAACTTCAAAGTCGAGTCAATTCTCCGCTCAGACAGACATTAGTTAGGTAAGTTTCAGGTCTCCTGCACATAGAGAAAGGAAGAGTGAATGGAAGAAAGTCAGGAAGGAAGAAGGAAAGCATGAAAGACATGGTGGAAAGAATGGGAATGGGGGAGAAAGGGTTTTATGTGAACTACAGCTATACTGCATTCCAGGTAAGTTGAGAGGGGATGTAAACAAAGTCGTGTAAGGGGAAGTGCTGTTAATTCTTCCTAACCTTGTCCCATTTCAGGTGCCATTTTACAGTTTCTGTTCTTGATAATTTCAAAGAATTAAATAGGAGTTATATTATTCCTCGTAGCGATAACGATTTGGAGTGTCATGTTCGTAAGTATTTAACAACCAAATAGTGTTAAATGACAAATAAATAGATGCTGCTTAAATTCCTTCTGTACATAAGACTTGGGGTGGGTGCATGTTTGTTGTAACAGTGAGGTACCGAGCCAGTCCACGGACTACCCATAAGGAAAGCTTTAATTTAGGTTGTTGTGTGGCCTGTAGCAGTAATATTTGTCAAGTCACAACTTCAATTAAGAGTTTGTTGGTGAGTGTTGAAAAAACAACTGTCTGTAGAGTGTAGTCGGCTGACAGCATTTCGGTAACAGAGAAAGAGTTAGACTGACAGCAGCACATGTTTGCAGGACAGATAGTAACATTTCTACCGCGTATTTCAAAAGCAGCGGGAAGATAGGAGAATTTGTTTTAACTGCCCGTCATCATCTGCGATAAAGTATAGTCTGGCGTATTCGCAAATGTCGCTTTCTGGAGTTTAGTCTTCATGTTCTCTTCCATTCTAATCTCCGTGATTTCACACCCTAAAATTTGGCGAAGAGTGCAAATTATGACGTTTCTGATTATGCAGATTGCTTCATCGTGCCTCGGATCATTTGGTGTCTGAAGCTACCGGAATCACAAAATGTGGCAAGGTTTATTTCTGACGCCGTCGCCGCTGTGCGCCAGAGTGACGCATTTGAAGCTTTACAAGGTCTGTCAGTCACCCCCTCCCCTTACTGCAATCAAGGAGCTCATTGATATGCGCATGCACATTCAGGGGAGACTCGGTTCGGATCTCGGTTGAGTAAAATGATAATTAGGCGAAGACTTGCAACAAGGCTATGAGCTGTTGTAAAAGAATTCGTTTGGAAATTCTGAGTGAAACCATGAAAATACTGTTTTGTGGGATGTTGCGCCGCGTAGTCTAGTGGGAGTTGGCCGAAGACCTTATGATGGAGATTCTTCAGTGTACATAGCTTAAAATGTTTCACATCTATATGAACACACTTTTGCAAACAGAAGCTGGCAGCCACTCTAAGAAATTCCCCATCTTGTATGAAACTTGATGCTCACAAGTTCTCGCGGCCAGACTATGTTCAGAACAATTTCAGTCCAGTCGACATACTCAAATCCTGTTTAAGAACCGCTTTCATATTATTTATCCATCTATAAATAAAAGTTTTTTATATTATAGATAGCCTAAATAAATACAATACACCTAGATATTATAAACATTTCTTCCCATCATGTTTTCCATCTAAATATCATGATTCCCGTGGGTACTGCATGACCGGCCATCTCATTTTCCTTGATTCGATAGCCCTAATAATATTTTTTGATAAGAATAAATTATGAAGCTCTTTATCGTGGAAAATTTTCGTATCTCTTTCATTTGTGCTTATCTCTTCAGAGGAACTCCGACCTCGCCAAGATACTGTGTTGCTCAGCCAGTTTTATCGCCTTGTTTTCAGCCAAAGGACAGAAATCATGGAGAAGTTGAAGGACGAAACTCATCCAAAGAACGTTTATCCTGACAAAGATGAATCGCATTTTCCCTCAGTCAATCAAACTGAATGCTTTTATAGTACCTGTAGCGTGTTTTCTCTGTACACAGTCCTTGAACTACATAACTTGGGTAGCTGATATTGGTCCCCAACCATCTATCATTCAAAGAGCTCTGGAGACACGTGAAGTCGCAACTTCCATTCAAGCGCGTTTGTGAATGTAACGCTGTACGATAGGCGAATATTCCACGACGTCAAACAACAATTGAAAGGAGTGTTCCAGCGTTCTTTCTTTCTTCTTTATTTGTTTACTTTATTCCTCATTTATTTCACCCTTTTATTCTTTCCTTATTTTCTTTATTTCACGCTTCCTTAATTCCTTAAATCTTCTCCTGTTTGTTGTTTCTTTCTAATTTTATCCACTTATTTATTCTTCTCTCCTATGAATAATATTCACATATGGGAACTGACATTTATTTGATTTGCGTAGTGAGTGTTCGACAGACATGGTGCCAAGAAATATGACGGTCAGAGGGCGTAACTCAGCAAGTTGCGAAATTGGTACAACATTCTCTGTGGGTTGCACATAAGGAAAAGTCTGCTGTCAATGTAAGATACGCAGAACTGTTTCGATAGCTTTAGTGCAGATACTACATACTCGACTTGCAAGTAGTTGTGATAACAAATCCCTAAGGTCTAATAGAACTAATACGAAAACATGATCTCGACCCACGTCCAATTCTTTACACACACAATTATTTGGTGTTCTCCTTATAACTACATGGACAATCCATCGTAACCTCCTGTATTTCTTGTATTCCACTATCCTAACTCTTAGGTGACATGCACAAATCATGAAGTTCGTTGTAATGTAATATCCTAAGATGTCAGCTTAATTCATCCTTCTTAGGTCTAAATATTTTCCTGAACACTTAGTTTTTAAACATTTTCGATAAATGTTCTTCTGTCAAAGCAGAAGACTTTAGACGGCAAGATTATCGTATTGTCATGATCTGATCTTCAGCTTTTTGTAAAATACACAGGATGAGTTCTGAACTGAATAGTAACAAGTACTAATTCCAGAAAGTATTATTTCTTAATTTTATCATGAACCATATTTATGTTTGTTGTTATTTCTCCCAGGTATCTAATGTTATAAACGCCGTCAAATGATTTAATACTTATGATTTTGGTTGCATGTTGAACATACGTACGTACTGTAAAATTACGTTACCATATACTTCCGGGTGTTTGCACTTTTTATTAATTCAAGTGAACCTGTATGCCACACAAGAGCCCCCACGTGTTAATGTGCGAATCAACGGGTAGAAGATAAAACAGATAATACGATTATAAGATTACAAGCTTGAAGGCTGCTGAAGATAGGATAAATCGGACACTAGCCAGCAAATCCATAAAATATCCGGAAGAGTTGCGAGATGTTAATGGTTTGTCTAACGACACTTTGTAAATTAGTTACGTAGAATAGGGTCGATTACTGTGATAATTTTGGATGAAAAATTGGAAAACATGTGAAAGAAAGCGAAAACCAAATAAATTCATTTTTGGCCTTTCTAACGCTAGTTTCTGCCTAAGAAACCTTCTCCTCTTTCTATGTTCCAATGGCAACATGCTTCTTGTTTTTTGAAAGCCGCGGGCAGTTAACTTTATTTGTTAAAATATGACGGGCATGTTGTTTATACTGATCTAAAAAAACGAATAATCCAGCCTACAAGGTATATTGCTCTAAGGCAACATATCTCGAGACAAATAATTATGCTTCATATTGTCCATTGTCTAAATTATAGTTGATGCACACGACGTTTCAGGAATTGGAGCAGATGACGTCTTCAAATGCCTGGTTGATATATTGGTTCCTACTATTGTTATTTTGTTTATGCATAATGTAATAATTCATTTGCCTACACGGACTCACCGCATAATGGACGCATAATAATGATGTTCAAATGTTTAATATCCAAAACTACCGAACGGATTTTGGCTAAATTTGGAATTAGGGATCTGCATTAAGAGTTGTCTAATGTATTTTATTTTTAGAGATGGCTGTCTTCTCGAATGTTGCGTCGTGGGGGGCAGTAAGTACCTCAGAAACGTCGGTCAATTTCTACCAGTCTAGATGACGCGACATCCCAGAAGACATTGACCTTCGTAATCGCCGCCGTGAGAACCTAACATCTCACCAATTTTATTTTCATTCGTGTCGATCGGTGTCACCTCTCTTTACACAAAGCCAAAATTCAGCTTATCAGATTTCAATAAAAAAATTTTTTAATGGTATAAAGAATTGGCATATTACGTAAAATTAGGGCCTTTATCTTATTACAAACTGAAAGTTGAATTTTAAACAAAATTCAGGCGAAAACACATTCTGACTGTGCAGTGTGATATAGGCCTTGAATTTAGCTTCAAATTATTTGTATCTGCAACAAATGAGCATCAAGAACAGAACAGTAAAGAATGCATTTGTGAAATTCACTGGAATACGCCTTTTTACGCCTGTAACGGACGAAATGTAGTTGGAATAGGACGATGACACGGTGCAGTGATCAACACTTACGTCATGTAACTGCTGATTGAGATTAGGATTTGTTATGCCGCCTGTGTTAATACAGAACCGACTTTGAGATATGATTGATTTATCACTTACCGTCAGCAAGGCACTTGAATTACGCACGACGCGTCCTTTTACGTGAGACACCCAAGACGTCAGAACCACTACTGCTCACTAACCGAAGACACTCAACTGGCAGAGCCACCTTCTGACGTAAGTCTGCACGCAACGCAGAGCGGGCTTATATGCTGGGCAAATATCCAAAGCCGTGTGCCACTAGCACTTTCCAACGTAGTAGTAACAGCTTTCCCTAGACATTTCTCCTTTTCTTTTCCTGCCTTTCTTCCACTGTACTTTACTGCTTCCACATTTTCAATCCATCTCGGTTTCTGTTTTTCTGAATCTCTTCTCTATTTCTTTCGTTCTACATTTCCGTCTTCGCCATGTCTCAAATAATAATCTTAATTTTTTTCACGGAGGCGTTTATGAAGATGACAGTCTTCCGGGATAATGCATCCATCATCAGGGCTCTGATAACGGAGGCAGCAAGGACCTCTGAAACGTCGGTAAACTTCTACTAGACAATGTGGCGCAACATCCCAGCTTTGGGTTATTTAACTGCAAGGTTAATGCAGACGAGTGTTTAAGCATAGAACAGCATCAACGGCTTCCTGATCAGATAACACGGTTGAAGTGATCTACGGCAGGGAATCTCAGTCTTTCAAAGACCTGGGGGCCACGTTAGTTTTTTTTATCTCTCCGCAGATCACCACTTCAGAGTATGTGATGGCAGTGTGCTGAAACGCCCGTAACTTACTATAGATATTCAAATTTAATCCAGAGTTTTAATAATGGCGTGCCAAAAAATCTGCTTATATTAAGCTGTTTCTGGTAGTGCTCTCTCTCTCTGTGTATGCATTTAATTGTTCCATTCCTGCAGTACATAGATTTGGGCGAGTACACAGGTAATGGAAGACATCGAGAAACAATCACTATTTATCTCGCATTTAAACAACCCTCCTACTGTTCGAAAACCCTTGGTCTAGAAGTTGCTGTTGTACAGTAAGGCTATATGACTCATTTATGGAGAAAACTGCATAATTCAAAATTTGGAATCATTAGCTAATATTAAGCTCCCCCGCAGGTATTTCCACCTTGACGTGGTGGGGGGGGGGGGTGGGGACACCCCTACATCTGTAAAAATGATATATGTTGAGAAGCCTCTTAAGATTCAGTGAGTGTAGAAGGATGAAATGGATGATACGTGTGATATGCACGAAGGAAATAAATTAATAAGGTATAGGCTAACATTCTGTTTGGAAAACCTAAAGGGAAAATAAAGCAAATGGCATATTAGCAGGATATGGACAGAACTGGAATAACGTGTTTCACATTCCTACCTGCAATAATACCAAAGCCGTAGTTTTTAAGTTACAAGTAATTGACCTCTCTTTTATTACACTGCAATTATTTTTGCTGGTTTTCTTGAGGGCACCAATGGTTGCATAAATTAATTCTGATAGAATTTCTTCATTCGATCAGTTGATTAAATTCGTATCAGACGTTATTGGGTTATTTACAGATGATTTTTCAATTGATGAATTTAGAAAGGTATGAAAGGAAGCGGTGGTAACGTACTTTATGCTACTGTCCAAGATTTTACCTGGAGAGACTGAGAAAAATAACGAAAATCTCGTTCAGGCTGGCCCGAGATTCGAACACGGGCTCTGCCAAATACAAAACTGAAGTATTAACCACTACACTACAACGTTTGGTATTCGCACGCAAACGCTCTGTTTCTGTCAATCGGAATGCTCTAGAAGGAGTCTGTAATTTTAAGCTTTGGTGTGCCGTAGTGTGAATGTCACTGGTTCGTAAAAAACGCCCAATAACCACGTTTTTGTTAAAGTTTACATTCATGCTGCTACATTATTAATTCACAATTGGACAGACCAGTTCAATTACTGCCCATTGAAATCAATAGCTTGTAATATGCTCCAAACTCCATCTGCAAGTTTGTGATAATAACTAATTTCCTAGTTTAGATTTGAACTGTGTACGTCACCTATTAGATAGTAAAATCATTCAAAATGATGACCCAGTTCACTTGCTCAGGCGTACTCCATATTTGGGTTATTATGGTTGCTTGCCAGTGAGAAGTGACACGTAAGTACAAGAATATTTTATTTGTTAAGGTTACCTGAGGCACACATAACCGTTTCAGGCCCAGTTCCTCAGAAACACAGTCTCACCCCATTGCATTAATAATAAATGGAGTAACACCGGATGTAAATTGCCCCAATGTTTTTCTACCTTCCATTGCTTTATTTCTCCCTTTTTTCGTTTTCCACTTTGTTTCATACCTGATTCTTTATTTTTCACTTCCATTTTTTATTAAATGTGTAGCCTCGTTTCGTTATTTATGTCTGTTTATCTTATCTGGTGTTTTGTGTGGGTATGAGTCACCCACATCAACGGAAGAACATAGATTGCTCGTGTTTAAGAGATTGTGCTGAGAAGAACGTTTAGACCTAAGGTGGATGAAGCGAAAAGACGATGCAAAAATGTAAAAACTGAGGAACTTCATAATTTGTAATCGTACCTTGTATTATTATGACATTTGTATCAATAGGGTTGAGATGGACTTGACAAAATTTTGGTCAGAAAATCTGAACGGAAGAGACCACTTTGGAAGAGCTAGACGTAGGTGAGAGAATGATTTCAACATGGATGTTAAAGAAATAGACGAGGGTTTGAACTTGATTTATTAGACTCGGGATAGGTACCGGTGGCTGCCTTTCGAAGAATTTCTGGACCACGTGAGCAAATAAATTTCTTTATTACTGTTGCACAATGACCGGTCTGAAGAAGTGAGTGCCGCTGCTGCAGACTGCGTAGAATCTTGCATTTAACCTTGAATTGCATTCCTTGGAAAACATTCAACAAAGTCAACACACAACTGTTATGCCATCGTCAGTTCAGTTACCACAATTTTTGTACAGTACGTAATTCACCATAATTAGTGCCTTGGCACAGAGTCTTCTTCTGAAAAATAAAATTCAAATCTCAGAAGTTACTTAAAAATTCAATTCAAATCTCAGAAGTTACTTAAAAATTCCAAATTTTCTAAGAATTTGTATTTATTATTTTATTGATGTACAGATGTATGTGGTGGTACTCTCCTAACCCACTGACTTCCGTTAATCCCATGGCGTTCTGTGATACATATAGGCCTAACATTTTACTTGATTCTTCTAGTCAAATTCTGAAAAATAAATTATGTGTGTCTTTCGTTGTATCATTCAAAATAATTCAATTCCAAAGGGTTTTGACGACGGTAGATTACACTTAAAATTATTCGTTGTCAGGACTTTTCCCATCGTCTGTTTTTTAAAATCACCACGTTTCGGAGGCTGGTTCTGTCTCCGTCTTCAGGTGAGAGGTACCTACTCTGTTGGGTCCCTTAGATAGAGCTAGTCTCTGTCACTGGACGGAGA